ACTTTTCCTGCACTGGTGCTCACTGTTTTAAGTTCTAGTGTTTAAAATGTCTTGCTGTCTTAGAGAGCAAATCCCCATTCTCTGTTTTTCTTTTTCAAAATTATCTTGTTTACCATTCCATATGAACTTGCAGTCAGTTTCCTGTCCCATGAAAATCCTGTTGGTTTGATTTGGTTTGTATCAAATCTCAAGATTAAAACATCTTGACCATCTTTACAACAATGAGGCTTCTTACTTCCTGACCTCAGATGGCTCTCTATTTAGTCAGATTTATATTCACGTGGTTTTGGTAAAGCTCTGTAGTTCTTGCAATGTGTTTGACACAGTTTAATTAAATTCATTCATAGTTACATTATGGCTTTGTTTGCTGCTGAAACAGCATCACTTTCCCCAGCAGGTTGGTGGTGATAAGGAAGCTGTTGGAGGTGCTCTCTGTCCCAAGAGCTAACCCACTTACTGGGATTTACCGGAAGCCTGCCTTCTTGTCTTAGCTCAGAATACATTCTAAAGGACACTTTGTTAGGTTAACTTTTTCAGTGATTGATGATCTTCTGCACATCTGAGTCACCAGCCTGAGCCCGTGCTCTGCATTCTGGGGGCACAAAACACAGGAAACTGTGCTGCTGGTGGCAACAGGTGCAGTTTTTAGCGGGTCACGGCGAACGCCAGATTTCCTTCTCCTCTGCCCTTTTCTCCTTACAGCCAAAACAGAAGAAAGTCTCCCCTACCTGACTTTAGTGAGTTGAGTTTCAGGTTTCAACACATAAAGTTCATCTGTTTGAGCAGATTTTCTCTCAAAATCTGGAGCAGATATAAATTGTTACATGTGAAGCTCTTTGCTAAGAAAGGAGCGGGAAATGGTGCTGAGAGCAGGCACCAGGCCCCGCCGGTGAGTGCTCGGTGCCCATCCAGGGGCTGGAGGAGTGTCTCTGGAATACAAGCGCGCCCTGCCCGGCTGTCCCTCTTCTCATGCCTCTCCCGCCCTCCCTATACCCCCGCCCCCCCCCCCCCCCCCCCCCCCCGCCCCGCATTCCAAATGTTTGCAGCAGCACGCCAGCTGGGGGTCGCCCACAGTGTGCGATTCTCTTTGTGGGAAACAAAACGCGGCACCCAAACCGCGGTTTTCTAGCCCATGTGTCCTGATGGGTAAATAATTTAAAGTCAGCTGGTAAGAGGGAGCAAGAGAAGTTTCATCTCCGGCACAAGAAGGGTGCCCACTGCATGAGTGAGAAGTAGAGGAACCTTCAGGAATGATTCATCCTTAAATATATGTGCCAGAATGCTGTGCCCAGTCAAACAGAACAGGATTCAAAGCAGCCAAAAATGATAATACTATATTTTACTTATTTAAGTTTTTTAGTCCCTCGATTAATGCTTGGAAATACATCATTGTCATACATATATGCAAGTCTACAGGGCAAACACTCCAGGGAAACAACGAATGCTTACAAGCCCCGGTTGCTGTGGCTCAGCTCGTCAGAGTGTCTTTATTAGAGTTCGTCTGGTAAAACAAAAAGTCGAAGGGTCGCTGGTTAGATTCCTGGTCACGCACATACTCAGGTTCGATCCCCAGTCAGAGAGCATACAAGACAGCAACCAATCCATGTTTTGCTCTCTCTCCCCCATCCTCCCTCTCTAAAAAAGTCATGAAAAATCGTTCTTGGGTAAGAATAACAATAAAAATAGGCAACAAAAGAACATTTTACATTTTCAAATATGCATTTCCCTCACATTTGGACAAGGATATAAATGGAACTCTGTAATAAACTACAGTGTATTGTAGCCCTGGCTGGTGTGGTTCAGTGGGTTGAGTGCCAGCCTGTGAACCAAAGGGTCGCTGGTTTGATTCCCAGTCAGGGCACAGGCCTGGGTTGCGGGCCAGGTCCCCAGGAGGGGGTGCATGAGAGGCAACCACACATTGATGTTTCTCTCTCTTTCTCCCTCCCTTCTCCTCTTTCTAAAAATAAGTAAATGGAATATTTTTTAAAAACTACAATGTATTATAAAGATAAATGGTCTCAGCCTGTATCCTCTCCTCGCTGTTCTATCCTACACACAGCTGCCAGACTAATCCTCCGAAAACACCAATTTTCATTTGTCACTTTTAAAAAACTAGCTTCCTGGCTTCCTGTTGCCCAAAAACTGATCCCCAATCCTTTTGCCTGGTGGTCAAGGCTCTCTATGATGTGGACCCTCCTGGACGTTTCATTCCCGCTCACTTCTTCCATGAGGGACCGGCTGTGTGACCATGGACTAGTTATTTAAGACCCACCTGGTAACTTCCCAGTAAACGTTCCATGCCCCCCCTAGGCTCACTGCTCCTTCAGCAATGCTCTGAAAGCCAATGCCAGGTCACATGCCAGCCGCTGGAGTCGGGAGCCAGGCGATGATGCCACCACCTCACCTCATGGACTACAAGTGGGAAAAAGACTTTTCCAGAAGTGACCTGGGCATCATTGTGAGAAGCTGGATAGCAAAACAGAGATCCACCACAACCTCTTCACAAGCTCTTCCAAAACTTCACAAAATGTACTTCCTGTTCCAGAGATGAGGAGGCAAACGAACTCACTAGCTCTCATTTGGGCCTCTTCCCCACCACACACAAGTCCTCGGGGATATCTGACACGTTCACCCAGGGCACGGTCCGGGTCTGGCACCTAAGGAGTCTCCTGCAGCCCATATGTGACCCTGTAGCTCTGGCCACTTTTATGTACCTCAAACCCCGTTGGGGAGCCCAGTTTTCTGGGATCATTTGTACACGACATTTGTACCGTTTTAAATAATGAAGTATGTGGTTCAATAACATAACTTTTTATTTCAGGTTGCATAAATTGAAGTAACACCCAAAATGGTATAAAAATGAACAAAACAATATAATCCATGATGAATCAAATAAAAAGTATTTTGAGTTGCCATTTTCCCCCTTTGAAGCTAGCAACGTTCCTGATAATTGTCATGATCTGTTTGTGAAAAGGTACAGAACAGCACGTTTCCCCACTTAAGGCTGTAGCCAAACTGCCATGAATGGAGGTCTCAGCATTTGCATGAGAGCCCTGCGGCCAATGGTCAGTCTGCGGGCAGTCCCCCCAAATCGCTCGCAACTCCGTGCGACCTTTCTTTCAAATGCACACCCTTCCTGATTTCAACTTTTTTATCACCTCTGTCTATAGTAAAACATTTGCTAATCTCTTTGGATCATAAATTCCTAGTAGTCAGGATTTCTCACCTTGGTTTCCCCAGGACGTGGCATTTTGTTTGGTGCATAGGGGTCAGGGGGGCAGTTGAAAACTGCATCAATGAATGCTGCCAGTCAGTCTGCCGATCCCTGCTCCACGAACAAACACTGTAAGTACCAGTTTGTTTCTCCTAACAGAGTGATAGGCGCCGCTCTCAATAGACTACATTCCAAGGAAAGAATGAAGACAGAAAGATAACCAGTTTGTTTGTATCTACTATGTCACAGGTACTAGCTTAGGTATCTTGATATATACAATATTTCATTGGATTTTCACAACCCTGTAAACTCTTACAGACGTGGCGTTTGGGTTACATGCTAAAGTCACACACAGTCATGACGACAGGCCCATGAGGGACATGCAGTATGGGAATTACCAAGTTTGCAATCCCCGTTTATGGAAACAGCAAACGTGGAGGTCACTCAGAGCACTGGAGCAAGCGTGGCGTGAACTCTAACACGTACCCATACTTTGCCATGTATAATGTGCACTATTTTTGCCCAGAGTTTTGAGAAAAATAAGGATGCACATTATGCATGGGTATGATTACATACTATGGGTATAAAGAGGATAATAATCCCATGTATAATGCGCACAAACCATGGGTGTGCATTATACACTGCAGAATATGGTAATTCCAAAATGCATACGTATTTAGGTGCTACTAGGAAATGCAAATGTTCATTTTAAAGAGTGTTGTAAAACACTCTTTGGGCAGCAAGAAGAGCAAAAGCAGAGGCATAATGTGATAGCAAATAGATTGTGCCAGAATGCTTTGGGAACTCCAGTGCATAAGAATCGTTAAACTCCTTTTGTTCCCTTTTCAATTGCAACAATAATAGCTTCCATTTGAATTATACTTTATAGTTCACACAGCCTATGGGAAAAATAAAGGTAATTGGATACAGTTGCCATTCATAAGAGAGGAGGTACAATGAAATGGAAAGTAAGGGAAATATATAGGTAATACATATTATATATAATTTACATATACGAATTACCTTTAATATATAAACTATATATAATATATAAATTATATAAAATTTATAAAAATATAAAAATTAAATATAATATATAGCCACTCTTCCTTACAAATAAATTAACCTTGCCCTGCCGGTCTGCAGCGTCATCTCACAGGCTGAAAGGCTGCAGGTTGGATTCCTGGTGTGGACACATGCCTGGGTTGCAGGTTCAGTCCCTGATCTGGGCCTGTGCGAGAGGCAGCCGGTCGATGTTTCTCTCCCTCTCTCTAAAATCAACTAGCAGGTTCTTGGTGAGGACAAAAAAAAAAAAAAAAAATCACCCTTAAGAGGCACTTCTGCCACTCATCTTCTATTTGATATCTATCGCTCCTGAAAGACAGAAGCGATAGGAAGGTGAGGGGTTCAGCGCAGGGCTCTGGAAAGCAAACCGGCTTTAGAGCGACGCTCAGTCCCTGGGGCCGCGTTGCTAACCCCACAGCTTAGTTTGAGAGGTGCTTCCTGAAAACCAACCTCAAAAATAATTCTATTGTTGAGAGAGGTTCAGAAAGAACCACAGACCCAACCTCAAAATGGATTGTAAGAGAAAATAACCTTAAAAAAATTTCCCTTCTCATCAGAGGGCGGACCAAGAGGAAGTTCATCCTCCCACCCACAAATTTCCCAGAGAGGCTTCATCAGGCGGGCCTTTCTCTCCACGCGGCGGGGCTCTGCGGGGCTCTGCTCCCAATGCCTTGTGTCTTCATGGCCCAGTCTAGACAATAGAGCCAACCCGGACCGCGGCATGGGCCTCAGGACGACCAAACAGGTGAAGAGAGGCGCACAGCAAGGCCCCGGTCGCCAAGAAGGTATGTGGGCACCTGCTGCTTCCCGCACGTTTCACAGCTGAGTTCTCATAGAGGCTGCGCGGTTGTGCACTAAAAGCTCTCACCAGCTCCCATCTTTCTGTCCTTAGGTGGGAAGGCAGGCATAGATTAGCTAAAAACTCTTAAGAGATTTCTTTTAAATTTAAGTTTTCCATCACCTTTGTGATTGATGATAGGTTTAGTTAAAGTATAACAATTTTAACTACAAGGTGGGGCAAAGCAGGTTTACAGTTGTTTGTATGGAAGATAATACAATAATAAATAAATAATACAAGAATAAACTTTCACATACTTACAACCGTTACCCTACTTTTGCCCCACCCTGGGTATACTTAGTAAACGGGGCAGGTGCCAGTCTGTGCTCACGTAAGTAATCGGTATAAAATATCTTTAAATTAAAACCTAATGGTTGTTTTTAAGAACGAAGCATTTCCGAGAGGCCCCAGCTCTTTTCTGGAGAGGCCGTGGGTGTGTGGCCGTGTGGCCCCGGAGGTCACGCAGCAACTAGTGCCAGAGAAATCCAGACAGAAGGTACTAGCGGGCGCCGCCCGGCAGCAGCGGACTCCGTCCGAAGATCTGGACGCCGTTTAGCCGCGATAGCCCGCGGGCACCTCCGCTCGGGCCTGCGCGCCGGTTTTGCCGGCGGAGGGCGGGCACGGCTGGAGGCGCAGGTTGAAGGCTGATGCTGTCGCGGCGCACCCGCGTAGCCACCGCGCGAGCTCGGGGGACCTGCCCCGGGACCTGGGCGCGGCCGGGAGGGACGGCGGGCTGCGACGCACGGGCTCCGGCACGGACCCGGCGCCCGGCCCCGCCCGCTGCAGGAGACGGAGGACGCGCAGAGAAGGGGCTCCACGAGTTGTCGGAGCAGGAAGTGAGCGCGAGGTGGAGCGGCAGGAGCCGGGAGGAGGAGGGGGAGGAGGAGCAGGGACGGGGCGGGAGCTAGAGGAGGGGCGCAGGGCTGCGCGTGAGCTCCGCGCCTCCGCACCGCAGGGCTCTCGGTCCCGCCGCGCGCTCCCTCCCGGCCGGAGGCCACTAGTTCCGCTCGGGCGCTCCTCTTCCCATCCGCCCCCATGGCTTCTCCGGACGACCCTCTGCGCGCAGGTAAAGTGGCACCGCGCCGCACGCTCACCTGGAGGCGCCCGGCCGCGGCGTGGGGTCGGGGCCGAGCTTTCCGTGACCCCCTAGCGGCGTCCGGCCGGGGTCGGCGCTGGGCCGGCAGGGGACAGTGGCACGAGGTCCCCACACGGCCCTACCCCCATCACCCACGCGTGCCCCGGACGCGCCCGCCGCTTCCCACCTCCCCAGCGCTTTTGTTCTGGACTCCGCCGCCAGTTGGGACAAGTCCCTCCAACCCCTGGCAGAGGAGAGCGCTAGGAGCGGATTCCCCTTTCCTCAGGGCGCTCTCTTCTCCCTCTCACAGGCCTCCTTTCTCTCCTCATTTCGCTTCTGTTCTGTGGGTTTGCTCCAAATATTAGCCCTCGAGCTATTTCATAAACTAGTGTCCCCAAACCAAGACCCCGTCCACCCGTGGGACCCCCCAGCTGTGGGGCCTTTGATTCGATGGGCCTCTAGTCCTGTCCTTACTTTAAAATACCGTGTTTGTACCTAAGGCCGGAGTCTGGATTGTTGTCCAATCTCCCTTGAATTTAAAACCCTTCTCAGGCCTCACCTCCCAAGAAGTTTTCTGCCTTTGCTTTCCCATAACGTGGCCAATGCGCAGTGCACGTCCTGAACGCGAATGAATGAACGATGGACGCCCGGAGCGCGGAGGCTCTTCTAGTTTTGTGAAGGTTGGAAAAGCGCGGGAGGGCCGAAGGGACCACATACCCAGACACAGAACTGCATATAACTGCTTACGTAAACGCGTTTCCTAGTCTATTCGTTGGCCAAGAATTCTGTTACGTTTTTTCGGTAGGAGGGCTAGTTGCACTTAGTTGTCTTTAACTTGGTTCGAAACAGTTTTGTTGAGACTGTATCGTGACAGCTGTCATTGTCAGCGTGCATGTTTTAAAAACACTTGTTGAAATTGGTGAGTTTTTGTGCAGTCATTTTAATATTGAAGATGGAAGAAGATACACAACATTTTCGGTGTGTTATAATTTATTACTCTAAGAAAGATAAAAAATACGCAGGTGAAATGCAGAAAAAAATTTGCGCAGTGTATGGAGAAGGTGCTGTGACTGATTGAACGTGTCAAAAGTAGCCTGCGGAGTTTCTTGGTGCTATTGACATTGTGGGCAAATAATTCTTCACTGTGGGGCTGTCTTGTGCATTGGAAGATGTTTAGCAGCGCCCCTGGCCTTGACCCACTAGAAGCCAATTGAGGGAGACAGCCGACATACTCAAAATATCCATAAGAGTATTGGTGAAAATGAAAAATGTGTCTTTCATTTTATGGACAAAATATGCAGAGTTTTCGGCCAGCTCAATATTTCTTGGGCTGGAGCAGGGGCGGACCAAGCTTGAATGTTGCGTTGTTCGCCTGAGGCTCGGGCAGTTAGGAGGAGACAGCTTCTGTGGGCGGGTGAGGTGACAGCCACACCGGCATGGTGATCTGCTGCGTTTGGGAGAGTTCCCCGGGCATTTTAAAGAAAGATCTACGCTCGTCTTCACGTGGGGAACGATAAACATTTTATCCACGAGAGATGGAAAACACACTGTCTGGATAACCTCCCCCTCCCCGCCCCCGTGCCCGTTACTTGGAAAAACAGAAGGGCACAAAAAGGCAGAAACCTCCCATTCCCCATCCCCATGCTTCTCACGTTCTGAGACCCCAACTGACAAGGTGCATGAGGTGTTAGGCCAGACTCTGCCAGCTGTGGTCTCAGGTCTCATGAAGTGGTGGCGGGGGGGGGGGGGGGGGAATTCAGAAAGATCTGGATAGGGATCCGTTGAATGGGGATAAACGTAAAATCTGCTTGTGCCCCTCCCCCCTCCCTATCCCCTGGCACCAGGGAGGTCGTACAGGGAAACACTGCTCCCTCCCACAGTGTGTAAAAGCCCTCAGTGAGTCAGTAGTGTGACGAGGCCACCAGGGTGGCTGATGTGATCTTAGATAACAGAGCCCTGCAGAGTCTAGATTCAGTGATAGTCACTGAGTCGACTCGGCCCAGCCAATCCGGGGCTCCCAACCTGGAACCCCGGGACTCGGAGGTCCCAGCACATGGGGTCTGATGGCACACAAGGGTATGACAACACCAGTGTGTCTACGGGAGGAATGTCTCCTTGATTTTGAGAAGCAGCACCTGGAGGAGAACATTTTTGGCTCCTACAAAGAGGGGAGAGGACTTCTAAGGTAGAGATGTCCTTGTCCCTTACGGGAATTGCTTGTGCCCACGCCCATTCTGGAATTTGTCAATAAGATGAGGGTTCCCCCATTTAAACAGATTTAGAAATGACATCCCCTCCACTATCTCATTTAGTTTGTCACCTCCAGGGCCCACCCACGTCCCCCTTCCCCTTCTGTAATGAAGCCACAGATGTTGCCGATACACAGAACTTGGTGAATGGCATTTTCGCGTCTCCTCCCCACACTAGGTTTCCATCCTCCCTCGTCCGATTTCCCACACTCATCTCCCAAGTGGTGCTTCGCCCCCACTCATGCCTTCCACCGACCCCCTCACCAAAAGGTAGCCAGAGTGACCTTTTAAACACGGCTCAGATCCTGTCATTTCTCTCCACTTAGAAGCCTGCACCAAATCTCCAGCAAGTCCTCAGTCCTTACGTTGCTGCCACGCTGGCCTCTGCCTGGCCCCTCAGCCGACTGCTGCCCCCTCCCCCTTGCAGCTGCGCCACCGCCTGGGGGTTCGTGTGGTGCCTTTGTACCTCCTGCCTCCCTGCCTTTGCACAGGTTGTCCCTGCTGCCTGCAAGGCTCCCTTCACCTGTCCCCCCTCCACTTACCTCCTTCAGGTTTCACCTCAAAAGTCACGGAGAGCAAGCCCCACATTACACACGCTCGTGCGCCCGGGACCTTCCCTCTCGAGCGCGCGTCACCGCCACTCTCCCCTGTTAGACTCTGCCCTGGGACAGAACGTCCGCCTGCTTTGCTTGGCAGATCCCTGAGACACCTGCGCGCACCCAGCACAGAGTAACTGCTGGCCAGCCTCTCGCTGCCTCCGTGAAGGATGAAAGAGAGAGAATGTAATCGCACATGCTTCCAGCTCTGAGGAGCTCATTCACCAGGCTAGACATGTGAGCTGAGGTTACCTTGTGAAGTTAAAAAAGACGTTGTATAGCCACATGCATGTAACAAAGGTGTGTAGGTATGAGTAGGCTCTGTTAGGCGCTTAATTAAATCAACGTCTTTATACTAAGAAAATTGACAGGATTGCTGAGGTCACATAAGAGGAAATGCTGGTCACAGTGTGGTCCTCTCTCTCTACCACTAGTCAACAAGCCAGCAGGGAGGTGGTCAGAATTGCCTGTGCAATGTGCATAAAACCTTGTTTGTGTTTGTACAGAAGTGAAGACAAAGAAAGGCTTTGCAGGTCTGCCGCTGTCCCTGTCGTGAGCTCAGTGCCCAGGGCCACGAGCACCGTTCCCCCCCCTTCCTGACCCAGCCTGGCTCTAGAGGCAGCTCAGCACCGCCCCTGGGGGAGGGGCAGCTCAGCTTTCGCCCCCTTCCAGCCCCGCTGTGTGCTCAGGAGGGTGTGAGCTGCCCCTCGGCCCCTGCCCCGCCCTATGCACGGGAAGCAGGACGAGGAACCCAGGGGAAGCACTGCGATCAGCACCCACGTGTGAAAGGTGGACCAGCCTGGTGTTGCCCAGATCCAGCAGAGGGCGACGGCTGTGGTTTCCCTTTCTCCCCGCTCCTCTCCCCTCCCCAGTGCCCGCTGCATTTCTTTCTGTTCTTAGTGCCTGTGTTTTCTGTGTCTTCTCCTCTCTACCCTCCTCTGAACCTCCTCCTGTGACCCTTTGTTTCATCTTCTCCCTCCTCCTCCCCTGCTCGTCCCTCTGAGGCCCCACTGATGTGACTGGCGTG